ACACACACACACACACACACACACACACACACACACACGCAACTCAGGTAACACAACCACTGGTGCAAAACCTGGCATGTTCAAACACCAGCGAGAGCCGCTCTGTGCTGCTCTGCCAAAACAATAGTGTTTTCTCTGCAACAGCTTATCATCTGCCTTGTTACTGAAGCTGTTATCCGAGGTGCCAAGCAGTGGCACAAAATCACAAAGAAGCTGGCGTGATACAGTGCAAGAAAGTACTTGTCATGTCAGTGGATGAGGAAAACTTACAGAAATAAGAGGCTTCAGCTCCAACACCCTCTTCACACTTAAGGATGCACTTTAAAATTCATGAACATCACCTAGAATAGAGCAAAACAGACAAAAACAAGGAATATTTTGTCAGATAACATCTATGATGAGATGAAAACTGACATTTTATGTGACCCTCCAGGGCGACAGCCTTGCCATGCAAATCAGGAAATATTTTTCAGTGCTACATTTTTTGTATCACGCCAGCAATGGTTTTGACAAACTATGAAAATTTGAATTGGGATCTGTTCTTGGAGCACAGTGAACACTCTCACCCCACCTGGGAGCTCTCTGTAGCGGATGTTCATGACAGAACAGAGCTCCTGTATCAAGTCCGCGGCAGACCCAACAGAGGATCAGTGTATTTCTTTCGCAGCACTTTCCCCTGCACAAACAGCGGCGCACACTGAGCCACGCAAAGCCCAACAAATGACAAACAACGTGATTCTTGTACGCGGCTTTGAAGTTTAAAAAAAAGAAGAAGAAATTGGCTGAAATCTGTCTTAATGTGGTTAGCGATGTCTGATATTTTCTTTTAAAAGCTGATTCCAGCGAGAGCACGGAAAAGAAATCTCTCATCAGGTGGACAGCTCACCATTCCTAAAATAACCCACTCTCACTCCCGAAGCTAACCGGGGGTCAGCCTCATTATAGCCTCACTCACACACACACACACAAGTGCAAACCACAAGCAGTCATTTGCTAAACCGGATAATAACAAATAATGACAACACTTTGAAGGTACCATGATCAGGATGGAGTGAGTCATCACTCTGAGGGAGCCCCAGGATGAGAGAGAGATAGTCATAATTAAGAGAGGAAGGTCATTAATTTATGAAAGAAAGAACTGACCAGGATAAGGAGGCTCTTAAAGAGAGAGTCTGTGCAGACAACGACAGACAAAGCAATTAAACACACCAAAGCAGCATTTTTCTGATGCCGCTCATCATCAAGTCACCCAAACACAGCATCTAAGTGCTACAAAGGGGGCCATACAAACACCCCTTTGATTCTACCATTTGAGCCTAATTGAGAACAACGAAGAAAAAAGCAAACACTGGGCTTATATGATCTTTTATTCATGTCTTTAATCAGCCAAATGATTCTCTCGTAGAAGCATTTTTCTCTCAGGGCACAATTAAATCGGAATCTTATTCTGAACGGAGAAAATCAAAGAAGTTCTGATAATAAAACTGATAACAAATAATGGGTAAAAACACATTTTGGTGAAACATCCCTGCAAACATTTCTGTAAGATGCAACTCTCTTTCTGTGTCTCTCTGTCTTTGCCTTGAGCAGCCACTGACTCAAAAAGCCACTTTCTCAATCAAGTGACTGCGAGTTGGATTCCCCTGAGCAGCGTTCACACTCCGCAGCTCTCGCTGACCCGTCTGAACACGTTCCAGATGTCTGCAGAACCAGTTATTCTGTTTCCTCTCTTTCTTTTTAACCCCCCCCCCTCTCTCTCTCCCTCTTTTCCCCCGTCATTCCTCCGTCCACACACCCTGCCACTCATCTGCAGATGGCAGATCTGACACCTGGAGGATGCTGGGTAATCGGAGAGACAGCTGGCTGTCCAGTAGAGGAGCACTGCCGCAAAAAATGCACGGACTCAGCAAAAATCCTGTGTGTAAGGACCCACTGGCTTATGCTGGTGTGCGTGTTTTCTGCAGGATTTCTGCACATGTCCACATGTGCATATGCAATGTGTAAACAGTGCTTATACCCAACGGATCTGCTATAAATGTGTGTACTGTAGAGCCTGAAATATAAAAGAACAAAAAGAGAGCTAGTCATCTGAAGTAAATTAATGCAGGAATTATTTACCCAGTTCTTCGCTGGAAGCAGTGAGCACTCAAATGGACGTTTATAGACCAGGTGACACACACTGGCTGTTTTTATTTTTTCCTTTAATACGTTGTGCTTGCACACTCATGCTCAGTTGCTGCTCTTCACCACTTTGTCAGATCCTCATCTCAGGGAGGACCTGACATAGGAGATCCAGGCTATAGAGCCATTCCAGGCTTCTCCTGACAACTGCAGGAAGTAACAGCTACCTTTTTGGCCCACTGTCCAACAGCTGTAAAATGGCACATGTCACCCTACAGTTGAGCCAGCTGCAGGGGGGGAAGTGTCTGATATTTGCAATAGATACTGAAAGCAGCAAAACAAAAGGTCTGAGACAAAAGACAAAAACCAAAGCTGTGACATCATTGCATTAGGGAACTTTTTTTTAAGAAAAAGAGGTGAGCAATACCGTGCACGAAGATACCCTGTGTTATGTTCACAGCGAGGCCAGCACCTGCACAATGAATGCACGCATTCACACAACAAAATATGCGCAGTCCCAAATGTTGTCTTGTTGCAGCTGTCACTGCCACTTGTGCAATCGTGGACACACTGGAGAAAGAACAATGGAACTCTATTAGGCGGAAGCGCTCTCAATGAGCGTGGCGCTGCATGAGGCTCTGTGCTGCCACTTCCATGTCTGCACCGTAGGAAACAGTGCATGGTTCCAGCTAATCATATGGGCAATTAAACCAAAATGAGGTTCACTTGACCCATAAATGATGCACTTATAGCGCACACTGCCTCTCTGAGGGCCACTGGCCATGTCATCCAGGCCTTGTAATGTTTCAGAGATTTTTTTTTTTTTAGTATTTTCACTCTGGGCCCGTAAGAAGGGAAACCTGCTGTGTGCAACTATTAGCACTGAACTCTTAAATCTGTGCACTATGAAACTGTGACAGACATATAGACAGTGCTTCTGAGGTTGTATGATTCATTCATCACAGTTTACAAATATTAGTTTGACAAAAAAAACTTTTGCACAAATTATTTGTTCTATGAATTTCAATTTTTAAGAATACTGCTGCTTTCTTTACTCTGTCCTTGAAGCGTGACATCCTAAATGAAATCACGTAGCTTGTACAACAAGCCCTAAAGCAAAACAATGTGCTGCTATTCCTGCCTTTCGCTAAACTATACACACCTAGAT